GTTTTTCAAAATCCAAGTTAAGATTGACATGTGGTTTCTCTCAGTGACCACCTATGATTGATGTAGTAATTGATTGGTCGTGCCTAACCGTTTTGGGATTGCACAGTTGTTGTTAAGCCATCATAAAGCTATATTCTTGAAATTGCACGAGAAATCAAAACTCAAACAGATGCGCGAGAGGTCTTGCACCAATAATTGGAGACCTGAATCGTTTTTGTTACCTACTTCGAGAATAAATTGATCACTCAAATTTAAGTATTAGTTTGTCCTTTGTCACTGCGATCAGTGTCCGGACTGGCCGTAAAGGTTAGGTATAGAAAAGCCTGATAAGGTTAGCGGTCACTTGTACTTAATTAATTTTCCGGAAAACCGGCTTGAGCGCCAATAATTTAAAGTGTTCCTGATTATACTCGACTAGCCCTTTCCAATGGTATACAAGAGTGAAAAGGTAAAGAACGACGCCGCCCCCACTCTATCAATAACTAATTTGATTCATTGTGTTTCTTTTTGCTTTCAACAGGGCAATTCTTACTGCATAGCACAAAGTTCTGCAGTTCTTTTTCATTAACTCTTTACCCGTGTGAAACTGCCACTTTTTGCAACTACAGGACGAATGGTTTCCCACTTACAACCGCAAAACACTTTTGCACCAAGATTAGCAGAGTATTAATAATAATAGCGATATTCAGATAGATACTGGCCACATTCCTGCCGTCACGCTGTCCCGCCGCGCCGTCAGACACACTCCCGCCTGTCGCACAAACCTCAGTCCGATTCGCCTTGGTCTGCACCGCTCTGCCAGATCACTCACCCTGCGGCCCAACGGGAGCTGCAGCGTGACGTCACACCGCCCGTTACAATGTGTGACAATATCAATCTGTCTCCCTCTCTGTCTCCCTCTCTCTCTTTCTCTCTCAGCGAGAGAGAGAGAACACGGCGCGATACTCCATCGTCGCCCCATCTCCATGACAACACAGTGAACGAACGACTTGGCGGCGTCGCGAGTCTCCATGGCGACGCAAAAAGCCACCGCCGCCTGCCGCGGCACTACAGGGCAGCAACAGGTACAAATTGAGATTGTCGGCGCTGCATTGCGTTTCACACAAATGTGCGACCGGCGCAGCAGTTATATGCCCCTCTGAACAGCGGCGGCGGCAGAGGCCCGGCAGTCAGCAGGCCATAGCAGCGGCGGCGGCGTCAGAGAAACGGCTAACGGAAGAGGCGCGCAGTGCAAATCGATTCATGACGGACGAGTATGCCATCCCGCAGACGCGACGGGGGGGTCGCAGGAGGCGCTCCAAATAACAACGGCGTTATCAGGCGATGACGGCTGTCCGCGCAGTTCAAACAGAGCGTCACACAAATCAGAGACTCTCGCCGGCGCGACGACTGCCATCCGTCACTTGCTCCGCGACCTGCCCCGTGATCCTCCGCCGCGCCGCCCCCTCGTGCAGACTGACGCGCCAACGACAACAACACAAAAAAACATTTACGCAGAAAAATAACGAAATAGGCAGAGCAGCTAGCAGCAAAACGATCACTCTCGAGCAGGGAGGGGAAAAAAATATATAGGCGGGCGCGCTGAGAGGCGCGCTCTGCAGCAACAGCAGCAGCACACTTGGCTGCTCGAAATGATCAACGTCACTTTAACATTCCGATCAAGCAGATCGGAGCGGCAAGCAGCAGCAGCAGCAGCATAGCAGATCCCCCCCGGGCCGAGCCGAGCCGCGACATCCAGCCGGCCGAGCGGCCAATGCCCCGGCCGGACCGAGCCGAGCCGGGGCCGCGGGGCGCGCGCGACGTTCGCAAAGTAGTTCCGACCGCAACAATTAAACCGGCACGCAAATGGGGCCGGTTTCACTCGCGGTACGGCACGACAAAGTGTGCCGCGGGCGGCCCGGCCCGGCCCCGCCCGCCTAGCTTGTTTGGATCAATACTGCCGCAATTAGATTAACTTTCGGTGGGAAGAGCAGCACAGGCGGCCCCGGCCGGGCCCCGGGAGGCGCCGCTCCCGACAGCGCCGCGGCCGCGCTCGTCCTGGCCGAGCCAAACGAGTTAATCAGCGGGAGATGAGGCGTCCGGGGCGCAGCCCGGCAGCCCGCCAAGCTATGCAGCGAGAGCGCGGCCAGCGGCGGCCAGCGGCGGCCAGCGGCGGCCAGCGGCGCCCAGGACATCAAGCCGGGCGCTCCGTTCTTCGAGGAGGCGCCTATCTCTGCCGGGAGCAACAAACTTTTCGATACTTCCAATCGGTGAAGGGAGAGAGAAAGAAGGAGAGAAAAGAGAGAAAAATAAATCAGGAATCTATCTTTGGAAGCAGATGATACAAATTTAAGAATAGCAGGTCTGTTCTCTAATTTTCTCTCATATTCAGCAATTAGCTGTCGTTTGTTTATGGTTGCTATGGTTGCTTGTTATTTGTAATTTCGGCGTACAAGAGGCGTTGAGGAGGTGAGTTAAAGCGCGGGCAAAGCGGCCGGTGTCGTATAGTATTGTTGTGCATGGACAGGGGGACGGGCAGCCGCGTATTGTTGGTATTGTTAGGCAGGGTGAGGGTAGGGGCCTAGAGCGACACTCTCAGCCACTCACTCACTGATTCCCCTAGCGCCAAAGAAATTCTTTTCTGGTCTGCACTTGGTTCTCTGCCCTTACCGAGAGGTAGCTGACAACTAAAGTTACTTATATATTCTTTACGTGTAGTCAAAAGGTTTTTACGGTATCATCGGCTAAAAGGGGAGCCCATATTTTTGTATGAAAATAGCGTATCTATAAAGTGCACACAGCAGCATTCAGAGAAAGTTACGACACTAGGTGCGTAACGCACGGCTGAGCCGGCCGCGGTAATGGCTTCCTATTATGATCGAATCGAAAGTGCGATAAATATGATCGCCGTCGTAATATATAGCGAAGGAGGAGGAGGAAAAACAAGACGAGTAGTGCGCCGCGTCCCGCCTACTTCTCTCTCTCTCTCTCTCTCTCTCTCTCTCTCTCTCTCTCTCTCTCTCTCTCTCGCACACACTCGCTGACCGACCGCAGCAGAAACACGCGCGGGGGGCAAATAACAGTATGCGTTATTGGCTGAACCGTGAGACCAGGATGCGCCAATAACGCCATGCGTGTTGTGCAGCACAGAATGTGTGCAAGGGCGTGCCATCATTCTGCGCACATGTATGCACCAGTTTCAATAGGGGATCGTTTTGAAAATCGTTATTCATAACACGACACAGTTGTATTCGCACTTCCTTTGGAAGAAGCATAGAGTTGAGCGAGCGAGAGAGAGAAAAGAGGCTTATATACGGTAGATTGATTTCTGATCCTCGGCCCCCCTAATTCTGAATTTTAATCGACAACGGAAGTGGACTCATGGACTAAGACAAGCTCCGGTGAACATTGAAATGCAGGAAATTTTGGCCGAACTTAACTATTTTCGATCAAAGTTTAGTGCACCATTGGTTATTCTGAAGTCGTCCCTTGCCACTCGTTATCAGTCTGGAATTTCTGAGCACCCAGCAAATGAACAGCAAAGGTATAGTTCATGAGCTTCTGAGTACAACATTTCCTATTTGAGAGAGGGACAGAGACATCACACGAGCGCGCACGGGGCCATGCAGGCACGCACTCTCTCGCGATTGTTTTAGGAAGCTGCCGGCCAGCGGCGCTAGTGTCGCCATTTCTGAGAAACGCCACACACTCACGCACTGCTGCCTGATAACGCTGTAACGTATGCCACGTCTCTCCTTCTCTCTCTCTCCTGCGTCTTTCTCTCTGCATCTGCACTGCACAGGCACGGCACGTCGGCAGTGCACTTTCTCACAGCGCAGCGGTGCACAAGTCACCTGGTACTGCGACAAAATAAAAAGAAATGCCGCCACAAGGGGCTATATAATTGTGCGGAGTGTAGCAGCACACACTCGGCACACACCCTTTTTGTTGCTATTCGTACCCGTCTATCTTACGATGAGCCGTCGAAGCAGCCGGTGGGGAATCGGAAAGCATGATGCTCTCACTGCAGTGCGCCAACTGGGGCCGACTCGGGTCAGATCCATACGGGCAGGTACGCGGCTGCGGGCTTCGTCTAACGTCTGCGGGAATAGTGAGGGGGATGGGAATAGAAGAGAGAGAGAGAGAGAGAGAGAGAGAGAGAGAGAGAGAGAGAGAGAGAGAGAGAGAAGAGGGAGAGAGAGAGAGAGAGAGAGAGAGAGAGGGAGAGAGAATGAGAAGAGCGAGAGAGAGAGAAGGAAGAGGGCATGCTCCGGGTGCTCTGTCAATCGAGACGAGCACGGCGTACTGGCCTATCGACCGTCCGCATCTGTGTAGCGACCCCATCACCACTGCGCGGCCGGTCCGGCCCGATCCGGGTCCCCACAGCCTCCCAACACACACACGGACGAGCAGGGATGCCCAGGTGTCCGTGAGCTCCGATTGTAGTTTGGTCAGGTCAGCTTTCCTGCGCCCATGCTCCCTTATTCAGACGAGCAATAAGGGGCGGACCAAAACGGACAACACATGACACAATCATCAGACCATCGAAGAGGCTGCTTTATGGAGGAACGAGACATGACTGAGGAAGAGGCTTCACGAGACTTTGCCATGGGCGGACCAAAATGTTGGAAATTTTTGTTTACTTCCAATACTAAAATATGCTCCGCGATTAATACACCGCGGTCAACCATTGCACAATAATCAATGCGTCACTTCACTTCATTTTTTGTAAATGATACTGCTTCAGCGACAATGAACAGAAACTACTTAGAATTTCTAGAAATTAACTGCAACCACTACGGCGTCGCGACGCAGAGAACGGAACCGCCGCTAAGGGGGCACCGTCAGCAGCTGCAAAGGAAGGGCGCTAGAGGTGTCGGGAGGGGAGGGAGGGG